AGTTGACATTCACCCGATTTGACTTATATTGAGGAGCATGAATGGATTCTGGATTTTGATGTGAATAAGTTGTGAAACAAAGAGATCCCTTTTGTGAAGATTTTATGGATGCACGGGTCAGATAAGGATGCTACTTGGGAAATGGTCTCTGAGATGCAAGAAAGATATCCACATCTTTTTGGTTGAGGTATGCTGTTTTATTTTAACTTTTTCAAATTTCAAGGATGAAATTTTACAAGGAGAGTAGATTGTAATAACAGAAAAATAATAAAAAAAAAGATGCTAGCAGTTTGAGGAGACGCATTCCTTCAGTTATAAACAATCTATCACATCTCTCATTCGATCAAATCAAAACATAATAAGCGAGGAAGAGTAAAGGAAGCTGCATAGGAGAAGGAAGAAGGATGAAGGAAGAAGTTGCGATTACTGTACAACTTTGTGTCCTAGCTAAGAAGGAGGAAGAAGAAGAGGGAGGAGGCGACGTCAATGACCTACTTGGAACGAGCCGCAACTGAAAACTTGTCCTCTTCGTGAGAGAAGTCGAAGTAGCGCAAGGAATGCCACTGTTAGGGTTGTCGAGCCTTGCGAAGGAGGAGAGGAGATGAACTTCAGCACTGTGCTAACGTATCAGATGAAGGGGAGTCTTCTTTGAGTCAAGACTGAAGGTGAAGGGAAAGACAAGTCAAACTTCCCGCTGCTTTGTTCACGCACAGGAAGAAGAAGAGAAGGGGAGTCGAAGTCGGCGAGGCGGTCCTTGCTTCATCGTGTGTATAGGAATGAAGGGGTTGCTCTTGTGCTCTACTGGGTGAGACGAGATTGAAGGAACTCACGCCGTCGAGCTGAGGAAAGTAGGAAGGGGCAAGCTTCATGCATGAGCTAGGGCAGAGGCAAGTTATATAAAGTATGTTTAATATATTTTTTTAATAAGTTAATTAATCTGTTATTATATATAAAAATTTTATGTGTTTGTGTGAGTGTTTAAATGGAAGATAAAAATTAACGAGGACCTTAATATAATGATTATAGATTCAAAGTAGAAGTTGGAGGAGCTTGAAAGTTAGGAGGTGGATCGATCTGCACAATTTATTTAGTGGTATATTGTCATTAGAACAAATAATATAATTATTTAAATTAATGTTATTAAATTTTTTTATATAATCAGAAGAGTGTAGAAGATTGATAAATTCTTAAATTTTGAGGAAGACTGAGAACTTTAAGGTCAATAGAGGTTAGAGATTTTAATCATTCTTACATCTTTAAATAAGTTAGCTATATTTAAGTATTTCCATTAAAACGAAGCTCTTATAAGTATATGCACATTTTATTGGTTTAGGTGTTAGGAAGTGAAGAGCAGTAATAAACTTTTTCAGATGTCTTCTAAGGCAATGTGAGTAATTATTTTATTATATGTATTAAATTTAAAGTTTATGAAATAAGTAATTTCTTTAATGCCTTAGACAATTATTTTATGTTTTTAATTATTTTGTAGCTTAAAAATAAAAGTAAATGCAAGGAGAAAGGGAAAAAAGAATGCTTAATGTTTTTAAAAGGATGTAATTTAAATGAAATGAGATAAAAAGTTCATTGTTCAAGTCGTACAAAATTATTTCCAGATTGTATTGGCATGAGATGCAATGTACCTGTGCACGTTAAAGAAAATGATAAAAGTACGTCTTTGGGTGCAATTTGATAGTACCTTCAGATACATTTTTTGAGGGTGTCTTCGGGCATATTTTGAGGATATATTTGGTATGACGATAATCCTGTGATGACTATTAAAAAGTTAAAAAAATGTTAAATATTTAAAATGGAATGGGAGGTGATAAATTTATAGTTTTATTGAAATTAATTGCATTTTCTGTTGGTCATTCATGCATATCATAGCATAGCATATAAATTTCATATTAGATTATATTTATTCTCCAAGTTTTCTTCATAGTTGAATTAAATGTTTTCTTTCATGAGAAGGAATGTTTTACGTCGATTTGTCTGATAGGAGAGACTTTGTTTACCGGAAGAAGATCACTGCTGCTAGGTATTTTATTAATGATGATAATATCTCTTTACTGTTTTTTTTTCAGATTTTGATTTACTGTTAAGGACTGGATTGAGACTTTTTTTTTGGATGTTATTGTTTGTGGATGCTTTAGAATTTATTGTATTTGTGGATTAGTGGTTCTTTAATATGTATTGAAAGTTTTCAAAATGTGGATAGTTAGATGCTAGTACCGTCTTACCACAGTTCCTACTTTAGGTAATTCTGAGCACCGGGCCTAGTCGTGACAAACCACTTGAAGTGTTTATAAAGGTATTGCAGATAAAACATGCTGAAGTAGTGTCAATTTACCATCGAAAGAGAGACAAGAATTTTCTCAATTTTGAAGCCTTTTTGAAATTTTTGTGTAATATCTCATTAAAGATCTGGTTCCTGTTTTGAGTTCTTGAAAGTTGTATGCCAAGATATTTCATTGGAAGAGATTTGATAATGAAGCTAGTATAATCTTGAAGCCATGTTTTATGTGCAGCAGAGAGTCTTTTGCTGATTATCATACCACACTTAGAGTTATTGAATGTCATACTAGAGACCAGTTCAAAGTGCATGAGCATCTTATAGGTATGTTTGATTTATTTATGGGATTTTGAGGTGGAAAGGGGCTTGCATAATACTAGTTCTAGGCGTAATCGAGAGCTTGTATAGGGCCTTCGTTTAGGTGGTGTATGGAAGAAAGTGATGAAATAGAGAGAAAAGGAGAGGGGGAGCGAGGGGGAGAGATTAAAAAACCAATAAAGGGATAACAACTTGGACTCAGGTCTTGGTTCGGCCATCGGGCATCTCCTGAAATTCACACACAAGCTAAATTTCATAATAATTTCAATAATTTGAATAGTGAATACACGATGGTTTTTAATTTGAGCATGATGTATCACCTGCTGTGGCTTATTGTCAGCAGACATTGGTGAGTACTGCACTTATTGACAGGGGTGCGGTGAAAGTCAAGGTTATCGCAAAATTTAGGCAAATCCAGTCAAAATTAGGTGAGTTTACCTGTGTGAGGGTAGTGGCTACTTGTCACATTTGGTGATTGTGTGTGTTCTTAGCATGTGTTAAAGATTAGGGGCATTTAAATAACTCCCAATTCTTAGGTATTTACATATTTAACACCTAAACTTTGTTTTTTTTACATTTATACCACTCAAAATCATTTATATGAAATAAAAAATATCATTATTTTATCTTTTTAAGTGTAAATACACCTTTTTTTGCATAGGTAAGGTAGCATATATGTAAAAATTGAAGTTGAAGTGTTAGATATGTAAATGCACAAAAATTGAGTGCATTTTAAAGATTACCCAAGGAAGGGGTGCAGTTGAGGATTGCAATATCATGGTTGGTAGTGCTTTAACTTTGGTTGGCCGGAATTAGTGAAGAAACTGCAGTTGCTGAGAGGCGTGTAGTGGAGATCAGAACTAGGGACAAGGCCGGGGACTGGTTGTTGTGTGGAGTTGCTTGAGGCCATAATGCGACGACTGTGGTGGTTGCTAGGGCCAAGGGCGGAGACTTCGGGTATAAAAGAGTCGAGTCGAGTATAGCTCAAGTTACCTTCGAGTTGAGCTTGATTAATTAATTGAATTTGAGCTGGCTTTTTTTATTATGAAATCGGGAAAACTATTTTAATTTAAACCAGTGCTAAAATAAAATGACAAATAGAATGAATAATTAAGAGAAAAATAATCAAGAACTTGATTTAAAATATAAAAAAATAAATATTGTTAAACATTTTAATGATAAAATCTTGAATTTTAATTTTTTTAGTATATTTATCTTAATAATTTTTTAAATGAGCCGGCTCAATACAATGTCAATTTAAACTATTGTTATAATAAAATAACAAATAGAACGGGCAATTAAAATATAAATAATAAAAATTATTTGATATAGAATCAAAAATATTATTTTTAAAATATTTTAATAATTTATATATAAAATCTTGAATTTTAATATATGTTGATTGTATTTTATATTAATATATATTTTTTAAATGAGCTTGCTCAATAGCCAGTTTGAGTCGGGGTTAGCTTGAGCTTGGCTTGTTAGCTCTTCGAGCTCAGCTCACAAGCTATTTCTCAAGTTGAGCCTGAGCCGGCTCATGAGTTGGTTTGGTTCAACTGCATGAGTCTACTTGAAGCTATAATGGGAGAGACCTGCAATAGTTGTAAAGGGGAAAAGAAAGAAGCTGTGGATCTGGTAAAGAGCAGCACTTATGGCTTGTGTGGGTAGGAGTGCAGATTAGGTGGATACTATTTCATATTGTGCGCTGTTTAAAGAGCTGGCATGGGTTGAGGTCATCAATTGTGAGGCATAGGGAAAAAATTTTGGTAGTCCTGCAGCTCTGGCGAAGAAAATTTGACCCCTAGGCGTTGAGGTATGCTTTGCTTTAATGTCTCTGTGATCGTGCAGCGAGCAATCAATGCATAGAAGCATCCCCTATGAGCAATGAGTAGAAATGATCGGGTCGACCAGTGTCTATGCTTTTAAAATGTTGCAAAGAGTGATGATGAGCAGTTGGTTACTTGCTTCTAGAGCCCATTTTCCCCTTTTTATTTTTAGAGAAGTTTACATCTACACATGTTTCTTATGCATCTACATATCTAACGCTCAAAGTTTGATAGTTACATTCATCACACCTTGGTGTCATAAACTTAGCATGAAAATGTGTATTTCACTTTTAATAAGAGTGTGATGGAGTATTTTTGAAGTGATATTAAATATTTGAGTGGTATGCAGGTCAATGTGAATGTTTAGATGTTAGATATGTAAGTACATAAGAGTTGTGTGGTATGTATGTAAATGCCTCTTTTTTATGTGGATTAAATTTTTATTTTATTTTCCATTTCCTTTTAATATATTGAGTTTTATCGCTACTGCTATTTATTTGTGAACTGTACGCATTGTAAGAAGGCTTTTATGGAAATTGATTGTTCTTCTACAATGGTGATAGGAGAGGTTTCAGTATCATAATGACAACGAGTCTCTCATCAGATATTCCAGTGGGTTATTTCTCGTGGGCTGAATATGACATCATGGCCCCGATACAACACAAGACTGCCAAAGGGCTTGCCGCCGCCTTCATTTCAAATTGTGGCGCACATAATTTTCGCTTACAGGCACTCGAGATGCTGGAAAAGTTGGATATAAAAATAGATTCATATGGAAGCTGCCATCGAAATCATGATGGCAATGGTATGTATAACTTTGAGCCATTTATCATTCAGGTTTATAGAGTCATGATTGAGATGAAAATTTAATATCAATTTATTTCAGACTAAACAACCATAAAAAACCATTACTTGTGTTTTTTCTAGGAGACATACTAGAGAATACCAAAGTTTTGTCACCTTCCTAGGGTCCCTTACGATCAATCCGTGCTGTACCTATATAATATTTTAGCTATATTTTTGGGTTATTTTCATACATAGCACACAATTCTAATGTATTTACATGTCTCACAGCTAAACTTTCGTATATACACACATAGCACTCAAATATTTAATATTACTTCAAAAATAGCACTATTACCCCTAATGCACCTTTTCATGCATTGGTTTAAAGCACCAATGGTCTATATATGTCAATATGAAAATTTAAGTGTGAGATATGTAAATACATAATAATTGTGTGCTTGGTATGTAAAATTTCTATCGTTGTTGATTTTTTAAAGAAGCAAGTATTAGAAAATTTTGATTTTATCTGATTTGTTGTTGAATACCAGTTACTTATAGTCATACGGAATTTGAGAGATTTTATCCTATTTTGCACTTATCCTTTTTCTACGCCATTCTATAATTTTTAGGAAGATTTACATGCATACCACTGAATTCTTATGTATTTACATATTGTACACTTAATATATATATCACCTTAACAATGCCTGAAAAGATACATTTCACTTTCTAAATGTTAAAATAGTACTATTTTAAGATGAAATACGAAAGATTTAGGCAGTATGTAAGAAAGCATAGTTTTGGAGTTAGATATGTCAATACATAGGAATTGGGTGGTATGTATGTAAATGCCCCTAATTTTAAACTGCTAAACCATACAAACATCTGTAACTACTCATGGCTGCTATTATTACAGTGCATAAGGTGGATACTCTAAAGCGATACAAATTCAGCTTGGCGTTTGAAAATTCCAATGAGGAAGACTATGTTACAGAAAAATTCTTCCAGTCCCTTGTTGCTGGTATGCTTTGCAATGCTGAATCATCTTAATGGTATATTAATCACGAGTAAAATGTTTTACTCAAAATAGTTCTCGGATTATTTACATGGGGTCATTTTAGTCCCATAATCCATAAAATTCTCAATTTAATTCTTTATCCCTTTTAGCATGGGCTAAAATAGTCCCCATGAAAGATTATTTTAAAAATGTCTCAGGACTAAATGTGTACTTTTATAGATTCCATGGCTGAAATGGACCCCTACAAAGAGGACTATTTTGACATTTTCTCGATTAATCATTGTGGAAATCTTTATTATGTGGCTTGGTTTCTTTCAATAAAATTCTCTAGAAATAATTCTCTTTAATTTCTAAAATATTTTATATTTGTTTTCTATATTGCAGGAGCTGTACCAGTTGTTGTTGGTGCTCCAAATATTCGAGAGTTTGCCCCGTCTCCTGATTCTATTTTACATATTAGAGAACTTGATGATGTCACCTCAGTTGCTGAAACTATGAAATATCTCGCAGCAAACCCTGCTGCTTATAATAAGACATTGAGGTAAATTTACTCTCGGTGTTATTTGTCCTAACAAGTCTTACATTTTATTGAGAAAGTTGTCATTTTAAGTGTTAGTTCAGATTTATACTAGGATTTATATGGGGACCAGTTAGGGTTGTTGAAACGGCTCGTTGTTCGCGAACAGCTCGTGTTCGGCTCGTTA